ACCACATTCAAAGTCAGTGAGCTTTTTTACTTTTGCCATCAGGAGGTCTTGACAGTGTAAAGACTTGACAGAAAATGACATGGAATCCAGATTTTTGCACAGCTTTTGGTTTTTAAAGACTATGGTCCTAAACTTTTGATCAGCTGAAAAAATCATGTTTGAGTGTAAATGCAGTTTTCAGAAAATTCCCTGCTCAAAAGTTCTTGTCTCTTGCACTGATTTCTTCTTTTAACATTGTGAAGCTCTACTTAGAACCTTCTTAAGATCCAATAGAGCAAAATGCAAATTCTTGCACTTTTTTGACTGGTCTTAAGATTTTGGTCAGGAGTGTGTATAAAAACACCAGACCTGTATTATAATAATATTAGCACAAAAACTAAGAATATTTGTGTTTGGTAGAGTTTTGCTTTGCTGTTACAATGCTTCTTGGTATTAAATGTCATATCGTTAGAAAGCCTGCTATTTTCCCTTTTAAATGGTGCCACATTTGTAAGGAACATGCATTTGAGGGATGAGCAGTAGAGCTGAGTATGTGGGTTGTGCACATGAAAAATTTACCAAATCTGTTSTTGCTACTTACACTTCCCYAGGTGCTGCCAATCAGGTGCCCGCTATAAAACGTGTTGCCAAGAAGCATTGTTACAACAAAAATACTCTACCAAACACACATGTCCTTACTTTTTATGCTAAGTTTACATGATTTTAGCTCAGATCTGTAACAACAACCCGCCTGCACTCACCCCACACACATCGCAGCACTCTCCCAGCATCTTGTAGCCTTTCAGAAGATAATCTCCCATCAGTTTGCTGATTTTATCCTGTCGCTCCCTGCGAGCTTGGATCACCTTCATCTCCGCTTCACTCGGAGGCTCCCACTCAAAGTCTTCCTCATCTGCACGTCGGAAACAACGAGGTGAAACTAATCGCACATGACTTAGCTTTACTTCATGTAAACTAGCTAACACCGCTATGCGTGCATATTTTTGGCATTTTATATACGTCGGATGTGTCATACTTCAAGTTGCTTTTGTAAAACACRTGTTTAACCCTTATAGTCGGAGCTGAATTTGAACAAGAAGAAGTATCTGTCAGAAAATAACAACACAGTTAGCCAGTAAATCGAAGTGCCGGCCAAATTACGTGTTTTACGGTGGAGACAACAACTCAGCAGAAATAAAACGACACGTAATAAAAAAAAGGTCGAACCAGCTCATAAAATACACCAAAACCTAACAGGAAACATTACTATGGCAGCAGAATGATAACTGTTGAGTTTACAGACCTCCATTCAAAGCCATGATGTTGCTTCAGAGCTACACGTTCTGCGTGATGACGTCAATAGTTGTCGCGGTCTTGTTCTTCCGTGAAAGTGGAACACTGCTGGACTAGAGCGCCCTCTGCCGACAAAGCTCGTAAATTTATGGAAAAAAGAGACGAGATGAACTCTGGCGCACTTTGTTCTGTGGTTCTTGATTACAAACAAACAAACAAACAAACAAACAAACAAACAAACAAACAAACAAACAAACAAACAAACAAACAAACAAACAAACAAACAAACAAAGTACTCCAAATGCAAATTTAAAAGACAATTTTCATAAGGATAAATATTGCTGTTTTTCACTTCTCTTTCCTCATTAATAAAAAAATATTTAAAACAGTGAAATGAGCACTTGTTAGTAAGGAAGGCGCAGCAGGTTAAAAACTACTATAGAACATGGAATAAAGATTTTTTGTATAAAAAAACCCCACCAACATTCAAGGTGAAGCTGTGTTTTGTGCAGATAAGTGGACAAAAACTCTGTAAAAGCAGATGCTCAGGACTTTTATTTGAGGCATACTATGGGTCTGTGTGAATAATAATAATGCTTTTAAAAATAATAATGTTTTCAAGGCAAAATGTTACTTCAGTATAAACAATTCATTTCAATATTATGGGGATAACTTATTTAACGCCATGAAKAAATACTTAAGTATTTCAGCACCACGGACAGAGACACTGAAATTGTGACCTGAGCCCTGTAGACCAGTGGCTCCCAACCTTTTTAGACTTGTGTACACTCAGAGCCATTTTGTCATACCACTAGTGCTCCTTCAGTCAAATCTAATGATGATTCACAAAACTATGATGCACTACAACTTATTATTAAAGGAAAATTATTTATTTACCTATAATGTTTAATTAACAGGCATTTTATTTTTTCCAACTCAAATTAAACATAACAATGGTCCTCGTGCAAGAACCATTTGTACGCACAGATTTGTTCTTAAATTGTGCGTATGAGTGATTTAGGAGAATTCGTGGCATTCACCAATGTTTTCGTATTCTAAGATTTTTTTCCAGACACGATATACCTGTCGTACATTTTACGAGCAGTCAGTCTGCTGTTATCCAGACGGATTTTCCTCCATAATAACTTTATATTTCGTTAGTTTGAAGATATTTTGAGTTTAAAATAAATCACACTCCATAATTATGTTGACAATAGGCTATTCTGCTTGAATTAGAGTTATAATTTTAAATGTAATAATTTAGACTAACAATATAAATTGTCTGTCCGGCCAGCTTACCTGGGATCTGGTCATGGGGGGCAGCAGCAGAGAGACCCCACTCTCCCCAGCAACACTTTCCAGCTCGTCCTGGGGGACGCCGAGACGTTCCCAGGCCAGAGG